CCCCAGGGGTGACGATGCTGGGGAAGAGCATTGAAAGGTGCCAGGCTCAATAAACCTCCCCAAAAAGGATCTTTTCATCCAGCGTGGGCTCAAGGGACCGTGCTCTGACCCCAGGGACATTTCCTACATCCTGCTCGTATCACCCAGAGGTCTCCCCATGCAAGGGGCTGTACAAACCCATCCAGGGAGAGGATGGTGTGGTGGAGGCCAGGTGGAGGTGAGGATGGAGGCAGCACAAACCAAGCTGGGGTTCTTGGCACCAGCTCCTTGCAGAGCCGGGAGCACCGGAGAGTTGTGCATCCCTGCTTGCCGAGCCGTGAACGCCGGTGCTGTTCATCTCAGCGAGCTGGATATGAATTCCTGCAGCCAGGAGGGAATGTTTTCTCATTTCCTTGGCAGTGCCTTGAGCTGGCAGAAAAAGGAGAGGCAGAAATGCTGGTGTTTAGAGGGCGTGAGGGCTCCCAGCCAGGCTGGGCTCTTCCCAGCCGGCTGCAGGGAGAGCACCTGGGGTGCATGTGGGCATGGGTGAGCATGCACTTTAAATGCATTTTAGCCTTTTTCAGGAATAAATAATAATAATAAAAGAGTGAGAAAATCCAAGCTTGTGTTCATTTGGAAATCCCTACACGTCCAGGAACAAATGTGCCCATGCACAGTGTCAAATAAAGAAGGAAATATGGAAACACCCCAGGGACCGGTGCTCAGAAAGATCCCTGATGCTTAATCCTAGCCCGAATCCCATCCCTTTTTTTGCCCTTGGCACATCAGCATTGCTGCACTCAGAGCTCCAGTGATAGCTGGGAGAGCTCAAAAGCTCCACCAAAGTCACTCAGATCCCCTTCATTCAGGTGTCCTGCCCCGGGACACTTCCTATGGGGATTTGGGGGCTACCAGGGCACTCCTGGGGCCATCTGAGGATGGGTGCTCAGCCCCAGGGAGAGGGGAGAAGGGCAGGGATGGCTGGGGGCAGAAGCAGGAGGAACCTTCCTGGCTCTGCACGTAATGTTTTCAAGGATCACAGTGACCACCAGTACCTTTGAAGTAGGGGGAAGGACTTCAGCTTCCCCTGAAAAAAAAAGGAAAAAAAAAAACTCAGATAACACCACTCTGCCTGCAGAGATGAAGAAGGGCAGAAGATTCACTAAAAGGGTTTCTGCATCCCCAGCAACCTTTGAAATATGGTCTTTGATCAAGAAAAATAGGCGAAGATGCAATGGATGAATCCTTACAGCCTATAAGCTTGTGCCCCACATCCCCTAGCTTCTTTCATCCACTCGCATGAGACTCCCAGGTATTTCCATAACCCTCATTTCTCCCTAAATCCCCCTGATTCTCCCTGGTGCAATACCTCCACTCCCTTCTCTCATTTTTCGCCCATCTCCTACCCATCCTTGGCTCTCTGGCCGTGGCTACACCATCTCTTGGCATTATTTGGAGCTGTGCAGGTGCTGAGCAGGAGGAGCAGATTCCTTCAGTGCCAACACTAGGGGAGGAACCCCATCCCCCATCAATTTAGTCCTGCTAAAATCCTGCAAGAACCCAGGATATTTGGGAGCTGTGCCCTGAGATGAGACCTGGATGTGATTTGCCAACATATTTCAAGGCACCTAACCTCACAGCATAGTTTTTTTGTTTTTGTTTTTGTTTTTGTTTGTTTGTTTTTATGGGTGTGTGAGCCCTTTTTGAGTAGGAAACCCAGCAAAGCAGCATTTCGGAGCCTTGAGTCGGCTGCTGGCTGTCGCGTGGCTTCGTTGCCTCCAAGTGTTGCTGTGTAAACACTAATCAGGCCAAATTATTCAAATCACAACTGTCGGGCACGGAAGGAGCATTAATGAGGGAAGAAAACGGAACAGATCGGTAGGGCAGAGAGTGTCCTTCGGCTGAAGGTCGGTGGCTCCCATCCAGCGTAGGAAACTCGCACCCCTTCCTCTGCCAGAACTGCCTCTGGTTGGGATGGGAGATTTGGGGCAGGTTGTCCAGCCCTGGGGTTTCTGGCTGGGGGATATTTCCCTTTAAACAGACAGCATAAACACCTTGGGGTTTCGATCCAGCCTGAGATGTCTGGAGGGATTTTGTCCATTTCTGTGGGTCCAGCTGGTGTAGGACCACCTCAGGTGGCTACAGCAAAAGCAGGATGGGGTGAGAGCAAGGAATTGCTTTACCCTTCCCATGTCCCTGCACGGACACCACTAGGAATTCCAGAATAATTAGGGTTGGAAAAGACTTCCGAGACCATTTGGTCGACTTGGGGGTGTTCAGGACACAGCTGGGAACGTCCCCAAGTGACCTGGTTTGGTTTGAGTACACCGAGCAGGTCGCAGGACAAGATGAGCTCCAAAGGTGCCTTCCAGCCAAAATCATCCAGCAAATTGGAAGCAAATTCCAAAAAGCAAAGCAGGTGTTATGTGCGGAAAGAGAGAGACAGATTCTGAGCGGACTCAAATCGATGTTGTTCCATGGAAAGCTGCTGGTCTGCAGGGGGAACCAGCCAGAAATCACCTTTGTGCAGCCTGACATCCAACTTCAGCATATCCGAAAGCAGAAAAACGTCGTCAGCCCTTGGAGCTGGTGTTTAAGCTATCTGGAAAATATCCCAGACATTAACTACTTTGAGCTGTTAAGAGTAAGGTCAGAAGGAGAGAAATGCCATCTGGGGAAGGGAGGAGTGAACCCATCAATCTTCGGGCCTCAGAAATCGGCTATTATAAAACCTTCAGGAGGAAAATAAATCCAATTCGGCCAGAGCACCATGAAATACTTCGCCTAAGGTGGCTGGGCTTCCCTCAGTCCTGTTTCCCACCTGTTTGGCCCAGAAATGTGAAAAATCTGGGTGCTTTTCTTTGTGGCCCTGTATCCAGAAAGACCTGGAGGCACCGGTAAATCTGGAAGAGGATTTGGGGGAAGGATTATTTTGACTTGCTTATCCTTGTACTATTTAGCATCAGCTTATTTTTGGGCACAAAAAGCACAGAATGGTCGAGGCTGGCAGGGACCTCTGGTGTCATCCTGTCCAAGCCCTCAAGCAGGGCCACCTGCAGCTGGGTGCCCAGGACCAGGTCCACTGGCTGCAGAGATGCTGGGAGATACACCAAGATGTTAGGAGATACACCAAGCCCACGAGGGCTGATTTATGCCCATAAATACAGTTTTGTGTGTCTAACCCATCTGTTTTTTTTATGTGCTATCTCAGGAGACATTTATCTCTCTGCTCTCTGGACTAACATGATTTGGACTCCTGCTCTTTGCCTTTTGTCTGGTCCTTTCTCATCAGCAGGGCTCAGGGCTTGGCTCCAGACCATTTCTCCCAGACACGAGACCCGAAATATCTCCAGCCATGCTTGGCTCTGGGTTCCCCCTGAGAACAGAAGCGTGGTGGGGTCAGCACATGCAGCTCCCAGGCCACCTTTTGGGAGCCCACCACGAACAAAACCAGCCCCATCCACACCCCTGATGTGCACATCGATATTCTCTGAGCAGATATCAGCTAAACTGGGCATGGGATAATATTTCTACCCCAAAAATGCCCTCTGCTGGTGTCTAAATACCCGTGACTGCTGAGGATGCTCAGGTAAGAGACTCATCTGCCTCTCCTGCAGGCAGAGCTTGCAGCAAAAGCAAAAAAAAACATGGATCAGGGCACGCATGTGTGCAAGGCCCCCCAGCCCATTTGCATCGAGTGTTTTTAGGGTTTTTCAGGGTTATTTAGCAAGGGAAGCATGAAGGGGTGCAGGGAGGAGGTGGAAATTAAGCCATCCATGCCAAAACCCAGGCTGAGCCCCAGCACCATGCGGGCACCCTGCTCCAAGCAGGGGCACTCCCAGAGCCCAGTTTTTGGCTCAGTCTCGCCGGGACTCCCTGCTTTTAATATATGATTTTTAAACATCCCCTGTGTGCTGCAGAAACTGGGCTCGTGGTGGCGTTGTATGAATGCAGACCCGTCTGCGTGGCTTGGCCCTTTGCTAAAATCCAGTGGAAGGCACTCCTTCATTTTGGGATCGGCACAGCTGCCTGGATTTACCCCTACCAGCATCACAGCACGGCCGAGAGGCCATGGGGCACCTCACAGCGCCCACCACCCACAGCCAAGGGACCCCAAAACTGGCCTCAGGGGTTTGCATTTCTCAGGGAAATGTTGGAAAGCCTCTCCCAGGAGCTATGGGATGGTGATAGGATCCGAAGAGGGCCCTGCTTCCAACAGAATTGGGTTCAGGAGGGGGTTTTGGCCCGCTGATCCCAATCTGAAGTAAGTGGGGGGCTGGCACGAAGCAGGTACTTGCACACCTTGCCCACCATGATGCCACACTGCAAGGATTGTCCCCAAAACACTCAAACTTTGGACAAATGATATGGAAAGGACAGCAAAGAGCTGTTCTCCTCCCCAAGACGTGTCGTAGGTTGGATCCTGGCTCGGCCAGCAGGAGGACCTCCACTCCTCAGAGCCATACAGACAGACCCTGGGGAAGAGGCACTGTTCCCAGCCTCTCCATCAGACCCTTTTCTTCCAGATTTTGGGTAGAAATCCCTGATCTTGCAAGCAGAGAGCCAAAACTGTGCACGGGAGCATGATGACCCGGTGGAGATGGCTGTGGTCCAGCGAGTGGGTCCATCCCCCACCCCTGCTTATTTTTTTTAATTTTTTTTTTTTGCCTGCACAAATGCAGCCAACAACACCCACTGCAGTCCACAACCAGTTGCATGAAGCCTGAGTTGAGATTTATGTGGGATTTCACCTCGTGTTAACCCCCCGTCCTCTCCAGGAGACGTGGCAGGGACCCAGAGCTCCTCAGAGGCTGGGATACAGTTCATCAGCGTGTAATTACGTGAGCAATTACCGCGGAGAAGCTGAACCAAACCTAAAGAGAAGGGCCAGCCCCAGCCACAAGCCATCTTATCCTGTCCTTGCACAGTGCAATTGGGATGCAAAGGGAAGCCTGGCGGCTCCAGGAAGCGTAATTAGCTCGCCGTGATGAGTGGGAGCAATATTACTGCAGCATATATCATCTTTTAAACGAGTTCTGTTTATTTATAACCGGCTCCCATGACCCGCGCCCTGAACTTAATCCCTCCCCTCCCTGCTTATCCGCTCATCTCCACGTTTTCGCATTACTGGGGGAAAGGGGAGGTCGGTCCGTGGGGTTATCCCATGGGAATGCAGAAAAATGGAGCTGGGAAGGACCCTGAGGGGTTGTTCAGCCCCTTTTTCTGCCCCGTGGGAGGAGGCAGCACGCCTAAATCAGTGCTGATGGTCTCATCAAGCATCCCACCGTGATGGTGTGGGGCACCGTGTGGCACCTCTGGGTTTTATCTGCCGTAGGTGGGACGATCCCCGTTGTCCCTGCTGGGCCCCCCAGCTCAGTACAGGGGATTTTGGGGTCGGTGGGGCTCATCCTGCCCAATCTATACCCAAAAAAACGTCCCTAAATACATGGTTAGTGTATTATTTGTAAGCAAGCACCCACAGCAGGGCAGGCTGTGGCTGAGGAGGCCCCAGGGGACAACACAAAGACCCTTTGCCTTCTCCTGGCTCCCTGCACGGCCTCCAACCCCCCCAAAAAATGGGCTGAAGACCCCTTGGGCAGCTCCAGGCCCCTTTTTCTAAAGACTGTAATGAGGGCAGCCGCTCTGCCAAGCCACCGAAGGGGCTGTGTCCCCAATCCCTTCTCTCCCTGCTCTCAGCCGAGGCTCTGGCTCCCTCTCCTGACACTTTTATCTGCTCCAAAAGCTTTTATCTCCTCCAGAAGCTGATGGGGAAGGCACCGGAGTCTCTGCTCATCGCCCATGGGGTGTGGGGCCACAGGCATGGACCGAGCAGCTCGGGCATCCCTCAAACAGGTGGTGGGTCACCCCCAAACCCAAACCTAGGAGGAGGAATCGGGCTCAATGCCTTTGGGAAAAGCTTCACCCAGAAAATATGAAGCATTATGAGCTGAGCCCCCCAGCACCACACCAACACCTTCCCAGACCTACGGCGAGCCCTGCTCCGTGCCCAGCTCTTTGTGGAGAAATTTGGGATTTTGGAGAGCTCCTCTCGCTTCGCCAAGCCCCGTTGGATGGTTTTACAACCCCCTGACCCCACTAAAATCCAAACCATGTCCTCCTGGGCCAGACCACCCGTGTCTGATGCCCGAGACCTCCACGTTGGGAAGGGGGGGACTGGGTAGGAGCTGCAGGGGGTTGGAGCTGCAGCAGGGGTCTGAGCCCCAGCATCCATCTCCTGGCTGCCCTCTGCCCTGCAGCACCTCCTCTGCCGGCCTCCCACCAGCAGATGGCAAAACAAGCCCGTGTTTTGGGGGAGAGCGGCCCTGAACCCCAGGGAAAGAGGCTTGCTGCCACGGAGAGGCTTCTCCGGTGTTTAATATGGGGTTCATCGCCTCCGTCCTGCTCATTGAACCGGCCTCTGCTGGGGAATTTCTTCAGGTTGGGCATTTTTTGTGATCTCCAGCCCTCGTGTTGTAAAAGCCAGATTCACCCTGAAATGCCAGTTCCAGCTGGGCAGGGAAAGGATGGGGCAGCTTCTTGTGGCTTCTTGTGGCGTGGCAGCTGGCTGCGACAGGAGGGGGGTTCAGAAATTGGTGTGTGAGGAGCTCGTGCCCCAAACTCAGCAAACGTCTGATTGCCAGACCTGGAAAAAAAATAATGAAATGAAAAGAAAAGGAAAAAATAAAATAAAATAAAATAAAATAAAATAAAATAAAATAAAATAAAATAAAATAAAATAAAATAAAATAAAATAAAATAAAATAAAATAAAATAAAATAAAATAAAATAAAATAAAATAAAAAATAAAATAAAATAAAGTAAAATAAAATAATAAAATAGAGCTTCGTGGAGAAACATCAGCCAGAGCAATGAGCAGAAACATCTTGCCAATATCTGCAAAGTGTCGGGAGTACATCCAGCCTCAACACCCCAAAGTGGAGCCAGCACCAACGTCACCAGTGGTGCGAGTAGCACTCCTCCCTGCAGCTCTGTCACTTCATTCAGGGCTTAAATACAGCCTTTCTTTCAAAATGCGTTGCCTGGCCACTGAATCAAGAGGAAATACTTTTAAGACGGAAAATGACAGAAAGTTTTTACTTGTTACAAGCCTGCCTTTTGGTAAGGCAAAGAGACTTTGAATACATTTTTATGCAAGACACAATTTTTAAGGTGTACATATGTAAAGCCAGCAAACTGAAGATGGGAAAATAATAAAATAAAATAAAATAAAATAAAATAAAATAAAATAAAATAAAATAAAATAAAATAAAATAAAATAAAATAAAATAAAATAAAATAAAATAAAATAAAATAAAATAAATAAATTTACTATGGTAAACTTTTTTTTTCCCCAGACCCCCTCTTGTGCTGCCCACCTGCCTTTCCCTGTCACAACCCCTTGCCGCAGTGCCTGCAGCTCTGTTGCAACCCCTCAAGAGTCAAAAAACCTTCCAAATCGCCCTGGCCCCTTGCAAAGATGTTTTGCCTGGTCCTACCACGGTGTGTTTCCAGGACCCGAGGTACAGCCGCGCGACGTGGACCTGGCTGGGGCAGCCAGCAGGGCTGCGTGCCTGGAGCTGGACGGGAAGCGTCGCCGCTCTGTCTCCCGAAATCTCAGCGTTATCTGGGGCGAATGGCCTGGCTGGGAGGCTGCAGGTGGGAAAGCTGCTCTTGGCACTGCTTCCCAGAGCTGCTGCCAACAGAGCAAACACCCCCGGGGCAGCTACAGGTCAGCCACAGCTCAAATATCTGCTCCGGCGCCCCTGGTGTGTCTCAGGTGAGACCTTGCTGCTCCTGGGGCATTTCTCCCAACAGCAAGGCTGGGAGGGATTCATGGAGAACTAAAGGTGTTGGCGCTTTCTTGTTGGGTCCTATGGAAGTCATCGTGAAGGCTTTGCACATCCTCCAGTGTGAATGGAGGTGGTGACAGACATGGGAAAGGGCTGCGGAGGTGGTGCCGTGGTGCATTGGGCACGGGGAGCTGATGGCCACAAGTGTGGACGGGGGTGATGGGGGACACGCTGAGTCCCTATTGATTACTGGGGTCCTGTTGCTCCTGGTAAGAGCCTAGATTTGGCCCTTTTTCTCCTCCTGTGCTGGACACAAGCCCCTCTAATCCCCTTCATCATGTGCTCAAGGAGGGAAGCTGCTGCATGGTCTGGTGGGGAAACTGAGGCAGGCAGGGCTGAGCAAAGCTGGCCATGGCATGAAGGACCTTGGGAATGTGAGAAAAATTGGGAATTGTGATCATTCCCAGTTTCCAAGGTAGGTTTGGCTTCAACAGGGCCAGACGTGACACACAGCGGTGCGACCTCAAACCCATGTAATGCACCCATGGACAAGAAAACAAGAAGTGTGAAGGGAGGAGAAATGATGTAAACCATGGGTAAATGGAAAATTACGAAATTGTTTATTTGTTGTCCTTCCTTCCCTTTGCATTCCCCAAAGGCAAATGTGGCAGGGACAAGCATGGAGGGACGGAGGGGGGGGCATGAGGTTGCTGGACGCAGGCGGAGGGAAGTGACGGCTGTTAGCAAAAGGATTGGGTTTTATTTCATTAATAAATCACGAAAGGTTTATTTCAAGTGAAAAAAAAAAAATAATTGAAAAATAGTGGAATGAGATCAATATGGTCATTTTCCGGGACTATTCCAGCCTGGCTTAGTTTGAACCCCTTCCATATCTGGGTCCATCCCTTGGTGTGTTCTTTCTCCCTTCTCCCAGTTAGAAGATGCAGGAACACTGCATTGCCCCAGGTCCATGGATCCAGGCGAAGAGGTGTGGGATAGAAGAGTTATTAGCTAGGAAAAGGGGCTGCCCTTTCAGCTCAATCCTTTATCACACACCAGAGAATCAACCCACAAGAGAGGCCCTGAACACCTCCACTCTAGGAGCATTTGTTAGACAACCACATTAATCTACTGCAAGGCACAAAGCCACACTAAACCAGGTTTCCTTAGTGCTGGAGCTCAATAAACCACTTATTCCATGAAACGGCACCCTTGGGGTGGTATTTCTGTGTAACCAAACACGCACAGGCACTCTGTGATGAGCTCCCTATAAGATGCTCTACAGAAAATGTAATTTTAGCAGTTTGTCACAATTTAGGAAATGTTGGCAAGCGATACGAGAGATTACAGTGTAATTCCTGTATTTGCCAACAGGATGTACAAATGTTGTGGCAGCCGTTGAGTGAAAAACATGAGTCTGCTAAATTAAGCAAGATACTAAAAATATAAACAACGTTTATAAATAATAAAAATATTAAATCCCCGTTTTATTTCTGAATGAATGACAGATTTTTGAGCTCATGCAATTCATGTTCATTTTCAGGAATTTTTTTTTTTTCTTGAAATTACAAGGGATTATTTCTCCAGCTCAGCTTTGAGGCTCCCAGAACCATGAGACTCCGGGAGGCAGGGCTTTAAAAACGCACCAAATCTCCTGGGTTTTGGGTTTCAGCTCCAAAGAACTGGCAGTGCCAGCTGAAGGGGAAGCGGCCTGCTGGTGGACGAACTCTGGACTTTGCTTTGTCTCCTCTGACGTCGGTTTCACAACAGTTCTTTTGATGACGGGTTTTCACCCCGGCATTACTGAAAGGCCGGACAGATTAAGGACCTATTGCACCAGACGGGTAAGGAGAGATCATCCTTGCAACAATGCTCCTTCCCTGCCAAAAAACGATCAGCTCACTGGTGGCCTTGGAGCCGACAGCCCCTGCCAAGAACCTCCTCTGTTGAAGACCGGCCTAAAGGTCATAGTGCCCATACGTCAGCATGGCTGGGGAAACATTTATCCTGCTGGGAACGTGGTCCTGAGCGAATGCAGGGAAGTGTTGAGTGGCCTGCAGCAGGGTGGAGGACATGGTGTCTTCCTCAGGAGGTGTCATTCAAAGCCATGGGGCCAAGGACATCCACAGGCACCTCATGGGCTCAGGACTAATGTTCATCAAGGGTCTCATTTGCTTCTCTGAGGAACCTGTGGTTACATCTGTGCTAAGGAATAACCACTCCTGTAGCCATCCCTGTACCAGCTTTGGTGAGGCCGCACCTTGAGTACTGTGCTCAGTTTTGGTCCCCTCACTACAAGAAGGACATCGAGGCCCTGGAGCGTGCCCAGAGCAGGGCTACGAAGCTGGTGAAGGGCCTGGAGCACAAGTCCTGTGAGGAGCAGCTGAGGGCACTGGGGGTGTTTGGGCTGGAGAAGAGGAGGCTCAGGGCAGACCTTATTGCTCTCTGCAACTGCCTGACAGGAAGGGATGGGGAGCTGGGGGTCGGCCTCTTCTCACAGGTAACCAGTGATAGGACCAGAGGGAATGGCCTCAAGTTGTGCCAGAGGAGGTTCAGGTTGGAAATGAGGAGACATTTCTGCTCAGAGAGAGCAGTCAGGCACTGGGACAGGTTGCCCAGGGAGGTGGTGGAGTCACCGTCCCTGGGGGTGTTCAAGGAGAGGTTGGACGTGATGCTTGGGGACATGGCTTAGTGGTGACATTGGTGGTAGGGGATGGTTGGACCAGATGATCTTGAAGGCCCTTTCCAACCTTATATATATTTTTTCAAACTGATATATATATTTATAAATTTATATATAGCACCCAAGGGGCATGTCCAAGCACACTCATCCACACACCCCCACCGCTCCATCATGCCTGAAGAGATGAATTTAAGCTCACATACTATTATGGGATGAAGCCAAGCCAAAAATAGCCTGAAGAGCACTTGCCTGCTCCAGGCCTCCAGGAGAAGGGTAAAGGTCTTACAACTCAGGCGAACCTTCATCTAAAATAGCAACAGCCTGCCTCGGGTATGCCAGCAAAGCCCCCTCTGGGCCTGAAGCATGCAGAAGCATGAATGGGAGCTGCAACGTCGGCATCCCAGCCCCACGGGTCCATGCTGTGTCCTCTGGCTAACCCCAACCTCAGCTCCTTCTTCTCTCTTTGTCCCTGGGCCTGGTTTCTCCTCCCTGGAGGCAAGCAGAGCCCATGATAAATGGTATGTTAGCGCCTGCCGCCCTCCTGAGGAGCTAGAGGAGGGATTTTCCAGAAGCACAAGGAGGTTAATCACATATCACCCTCATGTTGTTTCCCAGAGGGAAGCAGGTTCCTGCTTTTCTATGTGTCTTTATGATCTTCAGCAGCCAAGAGTTGAAAGCAGCTTCATTTGCATGGACAGAAGCAAAGAATTAATTTTAACATTTTAAGAAAGAATCACTGTAAAAGGACCTTGACCCAGGCAGGATTTGCAATTGTATGCCAGTCTCAGATATATCCCAGACTTTGAGCAAAACAAGGACCCTTCCTGAGCAGTGACAGCGGGCTTCGTTCCTAATTCGGTGCTCTGGGCATTAACAGCTCATTGCCGTAGAAGCATGGAGTATTGACTTCTAAACCTACAGGGAACTGAACAACACCTTCCATCAGCACTCACATCTTGAGGTGCAGAGCTCCTTCGTTAGATCTGTTTAATATAAATCAACCAAGTGTCAGCATTGCTCCAACTCTGTGTTTCCTCTTAAACAGGAACAGAAAATTGAGCACAACAAAGTCAATGGATGACTCTAGGACATACCATCCAGAAGTAGACCTGAGAATTAAAAGCAAAAAGGCTAGGAGGCTTTTGGTTTTGCTGCATGAACATGATTACAGGGTCAAGTATTCTCATATCTTTGAAGAACAGCAAAAATGATAATAACAGTGGTTATTTTGCAGGACCTGATGGGTAATGGCAATCCTCTCCCCAGCTACAGCAGCTTTGGATGAAGCACCATTCATCACCCACAGCAATAACAGAAACCGAACTGAGCATGTGTCAACACAAGTCCAACTAATTATCAAAATGAAGTAGCTGGAAATAGCATCGTGCTCTAACACCCTCACCTGTCCTGCAAGAACCGTAACGGCTGCATTCATCATTAAATTGTGGTCAGGGAGGAATGCTTCCTCCACGAGAAATTCCCATCATTAGAAAGCTGAGCTGCAGGAGGAGGGAAAGGACTTGTTTAACCTGACAGGAGTGTTTATTCATTAATTAATGAGGCGAGGTAGGTCCATGGTAAGTTATAAGAAGGGCATCCTGGGACACAGCCCTCATTCTCACTCACGTCTGCACAAAATTCCCTCAGTGACCAACATTACTGGTTGTGAGGAGACCTCCACAGCAGCAGAACTGAGGACCTTATGGTCCTCAGGTGCTTTTTAAAGCTACCTCCATCAGAGCATCACTCTTCTCTTGTAATTTCAAAGCTACACGGATACCAAGAGGGACAGAAACATGGCAGAACACAGACCAGCTGGCTTCTCATGCCCTACAAGAGGGCTAACAAATCTGTGACAGAGGAACATTTGAAACCCAGTCTCTTTTGGACTCCTGCCACCTACGAGCAGGGTGCCTAGTGGCTCACTGACAATTAAAGGGTAACCGTGTTGTAATGAAAGGGTAGCCACGTTTTATCTGCTTGTGAGCAACCGCCTGCTACACCGTGTGACTGGAATAATCAGCAGAAAGTCTGCACACAAATGTTTGGGAGTCACTGCACAGACTTCCGGGGACAGGGTCGATCTTTCTCTGCTTCAAATCACCCATCATTTCTGCAGCTAAAGGAAAGGCTTCAGCACCAACCAGCATCCTT